ATCCTAGTGCTCACAGCTAGCTGACCTTGCTAGAGGAACAAACGTTGGTTTATCTTTGCTGTAATTTTATACAATAGATGGCTAGGTAGTCACATTGCTATGCAAGTCATCCTACAGGCATTTGAGTACAAGATGTTTCGCAGATGATCTCTTACAACGTGTTAAATCTCAGCCCATAAAAAAATTCTAATTTAAAATCTCTGAAAACAGATTTCTAGTCAAAGGAACATGCTGATCAAAATCTATCATAATAGTAAAGACTGCAACCAAAATTTAAACATTTTTAATGTAATTCTTTTTTACAACACATACTGGTTGTATTTAGAAGAATCCTAAAGTGCTTCAAAACAATAAAGTTGATCTCTTTTGTGCAAAACTGCAAGCACCTTTTCAAAAAATAAACAGCAGCATCAAGGAATAAAAACTTAAATGTATTTTCTCTATTTCGTTTGGAATTTTTTGACCAAAATAATTTGCCATATTTTCAGTAACAAATTGCAGAAGAGTGCATTTTATTCGTTCAATTTTATACTGGACTTGTTATACATGTACTGCTTGAAATAGCGGACCCAGGTGAATTTATATCCACAAAGCAACACTGTGGGATTGAAATCCAACAACTAAAATTTTAGCTACAAAAATAGTCATTTTATAGAACACAAACAGAAACGATGGTTCTCTCTCCACTTTCCTCCAACGTTAATATGATAAAAGATAGTTTACCTAAAACATTAGTTTAGCTCCAGACCCTTTTAGCATGCAGAGCGGGCAAAAACTAAAACTGATTTGGTAAGTTGTACAATAAGCTTTTAGAACATCACTATCACTCATTCAATAGACAATCTAAAGTATATGTAAAATAATGAGCCAGAATACATTTTTTTCTGTCAATATTTCAACATGTTTAAAAAAAATAATCATCAAAGACTCTGGAAAAGCAAAGAAGTTATAGATTCATCTCTAGGAACTCAAGTCCAAATTCTGCATCTGGGTGCAGGCATCCCTGGCTCAAAAGCAGTTTTGAGCAGGAATTACACAATACACATCCCAGGAAAGAATTTGGTTCCCAGTATCTGGTATCACGAAGTTTAGCATCAAGCCCTGATAGAATCCACATGACCGTGTAGAATATACAGACCAAGGCTGTCCAGCGTTTGCCCCCACCGCACTCCAACTGCTTCCACTGCAATGAACCCCTCCCCACCCACTGTATTGCTGCAAGACCGAACCCGTACGCCAAACCAGCGCTATTTTCAGTAAAGATTTGTCTGCACTTTAATATCCAAACTTCCAGCATGCACCAAACCAGAGGACCGCACTTCTGCCAATAGAAGGGGTCATCCACACAGCTTTTGGAGACTCAGTATGTCAGCTGTATTTTGAATGCCTGAATCCTATTTCATTCACAAAGTTACATTTTTAAGCCAAACACAATCAGATCTAAAAAGAAAATCAATTTGGCATTTAAGGTCCTTCCTTTAGGAAAGAAACAATTAAAAATAGGGAACAACTATTTTTTTTTTCTTAATTAATTTTGAATAAACACCTATGCTCTGTCAGGAGTCTAAAATGACCATGAAAACCTCATGAGCCCTCTGGTTCCTAACAGGTTTTGAAAGTTACCAACCAACTAGTTAAGTCCTAGTTAAGGTTGAGTTTTAATTTTCATTATTTTGACAAAGAAATGCAAAACCTTACCGGAAATGTTACAAACCTTCATAGGCTGTTTGCAAACTCAAGTTTCCTGTCATTACACTCATTTATTTTGTATGATCTGTGCAGACAAAGCCTTAATTTTGACATTCATGTCTCGTCTTTTTCAGTACAAAACTAGACTTGTCATATCACAGTATCTCCTCAAAGCACACTTACCGGCTGCTGAGCCAGATTTCAAAATGCCAAGCTTCTCTTTTTTTTTTTTTTTGAGGAGAAATGATATGAGCACAGATGAAATGAACTGTTTAAAACATACTCCATTTCTGCAATGCCATTCAGCTACTCAGTGTTCATACATTTAACATAATGGTTCTGGTAAATAATCTGATCAATAGCCATAGATCCCTCTTTTTCAGGTGAGCAGTTAAGATTACAGATTGCATCTATGCTGACCACTACTTATTTTGAGTCCTATTTCACAAATTGTTTATGTATACTGTAGTAGTGTTAACACTATACAAAGCCTTTCATAAAGAAAAAAGCAACATTCATGTTTACAAAACTGAGCACGTTTTTTTAATATATATGTATAAACACACTCACGTATTCTTAATCTTTAAATACATATAAATATTTATAAATGCCAAAGTGCAAAAAAATGGTCAATTGCAACACTTTACATACGTGATTTAGTATTAGGAATAAGTGATTATATTGCACACCAAACTCTCTAGACTTTTAACCCCCTGTCACGTTACATGTGCATTTTGTCTTCCATCAATGATGAGGCTCTCATGGCATTGACAACCATTTCACAAACGTGGCACTGAACTTAATCTGCAGTCAGGAATAAACTGTAGGTATATAATCTGCATGCAGTGCATTTATATTCTATATGTGCACACTGAAATAACATGGGAACTTGGCATGCATCTATTCTGCATGCGTTTCTCTGCATATGTGCCTTCTTGAGGTGGATGTTCATTCAGCTTACTAGCAATCTGGTTTTGAATTACACTGGAATCAAAATCTACAAAATTCACAGACACTTCATGCGTGCTCTGAAGGCAGCAACATTTCTGAAAAGTTCTGAAGCTTCAAATGTTTGCCACAACAAGACAACATTGAAAAAACAAGGTATGAGACAGCTTTTCCTACAAGATTTACAAATAAGCTCAGTTCATGTCAGGGTTGTTTTAGTTCCAAGAGTACATATTCAAGCTAACAGTACGTACTAGGAGAAGGTCAGATACCGGCTCAAACCATGGAGATAGGGCATTTGTGTTAAAAAACATTAAAAGTCAATTTGAGTCACAGAATAATTTAGGCTAGAGAAGACCTGGAGGTCATTTGGTCCAACTCTCCCTTGTCCTGAGCAGACCGAGTCCAAAAAACTCAACTCTGCGAATATCCAAAATGCATGAAAAAAACCCCACAAACCCTAAAGCAGGAACTGTTAAAGTGAATAAAACACAGTGCCATTTCAGTTGCAAGAGATATTTAAAATCTTGAATAATGAAATCCAGTAGATCACCTCCATAGTGAATGGCTAATTAAAAAAACCTATTCAAAATGAGCATAACTTTAACTTACACAAATAACAAGGATTAAAAAAATGCAAAAGAACAGCAACTGTTCTGTTCTGCTATATGGTAAGTAGGTGTTTTTAAATGTTTTTTCCAGTGACAAAAATGCACTAAAAATATTCCACATATAATGTCAGTATCCAAAGATAAACTAAGGTATCTGTCGGCTTAAAACCAAACCCAAGCCCCCAATATCCTGCAATCTAATTAAACAATTTTTAAAATCCAAGATTCTAGATGACAATTCTGAAATTAACATCATATTAAGTAGTTTCTTAATTATTTTTTAACCTTCTGGGCCAGTAAAACCTTAATCATTTTGCTACAGTAACCTAAGCTATTAAAATCGGTACAATTTTAACATAAAAGCAATGTTTGCATAAAGAGAAGTTGCTACTTTTCAAATGGTAAGGCCAGAAACAATGGACAATCTTCTTTTACAAGAGAAATATGTCAGTAATGCAGTGGCTGGCTGGGCCAGTATATTTTATAAGTTCTATTTATATATTCAAGTCAAGAGTATCTGGATCCACAGCTAAATATAGTGCCTTTAAGAAAGTGGTGTTTTACCTCACCTTGTACATCTCTATTACTCTTATAGTTGTAGTTTAATCTCACACACATGCACACACACAGGATCCTTAAGCAAGATTTCACACCTGTGCACTCCTAGTGAACATGCACTAAATTCACAAGTGTGCAGTATAAAGCAATTTCAGCCCTACTCTACTGCAAATGCATTTTCTAACACATTGCGCAATATAACAGGCAACACTTGTCTAATCTGATTCTGAAAACTGTACTCATAGGCCTGTATTGGAACAGCAAATAATCTCCTCTTCTCTGCCACTGTATTTAGAAAATATGTATAAGTACATCTTATCTCCTCCAGTACAATTGGAGAGGTTTTCCTACTGTGGGAATAGAGCAATGCTCTGTTAACTAAATACTTAATTTACAATTGACTCAAAACTACTGTGTTTTTATTTCTTTAATTACAGAATGGACCCATTAAAAAATGGAACACATTTATGCAGCTCTTCTTGAGGCTGCAAGTCTCTCCAATTCATCTGTCCTTTTATCAGAGTTTGCAGTGAATGAAGAGCATCACAGATATAATTTCCTTCTCTGCTTGTTTTCATTAAAGGACCAGTATCACAAGCTAGAAAACACAGAACATTTTAGCACTCTCTCCTCTTCTACCCAGGCACTGCTTCACAGATAAGTCACTCATCCTTCCTTAAGATTTAATTAGGCCACTGTCTCTTCCATCCACATTTTTAAAAAAATGAAAAAATTAGAGAGACATAGGTGAAATACAAAGTAATGGCTACATTCTTTAAACCACACGTTTATCTCTTCTACAAGAAGAGATAACTGCTGGAAAGTGAAGATAGAAAGGGCTCAATAAAGAAAAAAAAAGTGCTATGTGGAAGAATACCTGCCCTTTAAACATAGTATTGAGGGCGTTCAACATGTGAGTTCAACCTACACACAACACTCCAGCCATTAAATAAACTGCCACAGTCACACGTTAAAACAAACTTCATAGAGACTGTACATTCAAAAACCCTACTAATGAGCAATACTGTACTAAAATGTAAACAACCATTGTGTCACAAAAGCCTGCCAGTTGGGACTGAAGATTCATGAACCCACTTAAGAGGGGTTGTTGGCTAAAAGTCTATTATAACTGCTCACCTGAAATAGGCTGAAACAAAGAAGTCTATAATAGTGTCTAAATTTAAATTTTTTCGTTCTTTAGACATGGATTTGCTTTCATTCTACAACATTGAGCAGGCAATTTCATAACAACTGAGTAAAAAATACAGGCATTACTTTAGCAGAACATGCAGAACATGGAGTTTTTCTACTTGGTTCCATTAACTTACAAGCAATTCAGGCCCAATGGAAGCAAGAGTTCTTTTCCAAAGTCATCTGCAATCCTGGCTGATCATCGACATCCTTCAAGGGGTCCTGTCAAGGCATCGAGGCTGCTGTCTGTATCTGAGGCCAATGTTTGCTCTGTTGACATGGATGAAATGTCATTGATAGATGATGACTGGGAAGGACTGGTGTTGCTATTCACTGCTGCATCTGTGCTAAGTAAACCAAACATAATAAAATCTGAGGCAAGACAATATTACAGGTACAAATAACCACCATTTTAGACTCTCAGCATCACCTTCCCCACAGAAATCCTTAGAAAATAAAGAAACTAATAAACAGTAGAAAAGCAAGCGCTAAGTTCCCTAGCACTGAAAACCCAAGATGAACATTAAGATAAGATATTTTCATTTTTCTCCCTCTCTGGGCAGGAAGGAAAGAAGAAGGGAAAAAAAGAGCTAATATATAATGTGAACAGCAACCCGAGTATCGAGAAATTGAATAGATACAGTTAGTAAAAGACAGTACAATATTACATACAAGAGAACAGCAGCAAGCCTTATGGAATCAATCGTGGGCATAAATACTTAGCACTATTAACTATTTTAAACGAGCCCTAAAGATGTTTAACCCTGCATGAAAGGGACTCATTCATGCAGTGCCCCAGACTAAGCACTCAGCAAAAGGTATCTATGCAACAGGTGATGTAACGTGGTATCGATTTCTTCATTTGATGACTGAACCCTATAGGGAGAAGGCAGCTCAGGGTATTGGACACAAAACTCCAGAAGTTTTCCTACAATGTACTTCATAACGAAAAACTACTGCACATGGACCTCCAAAGGCAGATCAGGATCAAGAGTCCTGGACAACAAAACCTTTGCCTACCTGGGTTATTAAGCAGGATTTCTCCATTCACCAGTGCAACAGATCAGCACTGTGTGCCACGCTAACAGGAGAACTACTGAAACAATGACTAACCTGAGGGCTGATCTTTTACCACACCGTTCTTGCTCCGTTCTTCCCAATCCATTACTTCTTTGTATATTAATTCTTGCAAGAGAAGGGCGGGAACAATGAGAAGAGACAGAAAAAGCATTGCAAGATCACAGAGGATTCATATAGACTTTACATATGTGTAAAGCTACAATGAAACAATTACAAGTCAGACTGGAAGTACAACTGCATAGAGATTTATTTCATTTTTTTATATTGTCTATGGCAGCGACTAGAGAATTGTACGCATTTTCATTAAGCATCACAGAAAGACACCAAGAATGTACCCAAATCACCATATTTTATAAACAGAATAGCTGTCCATTTGAAAGTAACAACCAGCCCAACCCAAAACATTATATATACAGCTACAATGCACTAAGATCAACTGATTAACTGCAAAAAACCTAAAAAATCTGATTTGGATTTAGAAAAACCACATGAATAACCATGGAAATTGTAGTCTGATAACAAACCCATACACAAGTATCTTTGTTCTTAAAGAACAATCTCCATGGATACATTGAGGAAAGTCTGGAAATTCTGAAGTGGGTTAAACAAATAATTAAAATATCACCTGAAAGCCCTCATTTACTGTCAAGGACTATTTAGGATACAGGCAACTGAACAACAATAAAAATATCAGAGCTGTAACTTTAAAGGAGCATCCATTATTCTGTCTGATATGTCTGTAGTATGGTTCACGTAAAACAGATTAGATTACCTCAGCCTAGAGCAAAAGGATTATTACTGCTGCAGAGAATCAGGTACACTTGAAGTGATACTTCCAGTTAACCCACAGTAGTTTGCGTACGTACCTATAGTCTTAATGTAATTAACAATATTTAAATAGATTAAGACCTCTTCAATTCTGAGTAACAACATTTACAAACGGATTAAACTAGATTTAACTGAGCCATTTTAATTTTCCATTAATCCATAGCAATTTTAAGTGTACCTGTGCAGACATATGCTAAAAACAATTTTTTTATACTTAAATATATATACGTGTGCGTGCGTATAAAAACCAGAATCAATATCTGAAATTTAGAGAGCTATTTTACAAAAACAAGCACCTGCCAAAGTATTAAGCAAAAATGTCCATCACCCTTGGTCCTCTGATGGTCGATGTGTAAAATCTGAACTGCCTCACCACTTAATGATAAGGTGTAATTGATTTCAATACCACAACGCTGTTTATTCTTTTGTTTAAGCCAACAGTTTAACCCTTTTGGTCAGTAAATTAGCAACGATGAGAGAAAAAAACCTCTTCCTCTTCTGCTATTTAATATGTCTGGAACAAATGCAGTAGTAAATCCTATCAGGAGATATGGCTTAAATAACGCACACTGAGAAGAGGCACACGTTTCTCTTTTGGAGAATTTTCTATCAAGGAAAAACCTATTGAGATTACAAACACTTCAAACAACAGAGTACTGAAGAGGAATGGAAGGAAAAAACCAAAAAACTGAGTCATTTTGTTGAGCAGACTTCAGAATGTCATATATGTACTTATATATGCGTGTGTGTGTGTGTGTGCGTGTATGTATATATATTTAGGGTTTTTTTCACTCCAAAGAGAACATTTTTTGATTATGGACTGGCTTTTTTACATTGCGACAAGGACTACTGCATAATTGGAACAGTGGGTTCCAGTTAGTTACACAATCCAGCACACACGTACTGAGACATGCATTAATAATACAAGTTATTACAATAAATGTCATTTGTCATGCTCACTTCCTACCTTTCCATTCTTCAATTGCATGTTCTCTTTCTTCCAATTGTGCATCATAAATCTGAGGTGGAGGCTACAAAGAAAAGAAAGTCTGTAAGTGCATCTACTACATCAGGTGAAGGCAACCAATCATAACTGAGAAACCTAAAAAAGAATGTTTTTAGCATTTTGATACCTCCATCTTTGGCAGTCTATTCCCTGTATCTTGGTCACATTCATTTTTCAACTCCAGAATTTGCTTTTAAGTCCTACGTCCCACCAAAAGGCTGTGGGAAGGCTCAAGAAAAATTAAATTAAATTCATTGTAAGGCTTTATGGGGCCTTAGAGAAAGTCCCCTTCTAAACAAGGCCCAGGTTTACCACCACATAGGCAGCTCTTTCTGTAAAGTGAAGGGAACTACCAAGAATCAATCACTTTCAAAGTTACATCAACTCCACTCTAGCAGCTGTGCTTCAGGTGATCTGAAGGCTCTCTCTGTGACTTCTGCTAGCCAAAGAATGATTGAAAGCATGCTCTTGACTAAAACTAAAGGTATTCTTTTAAGTTATTAAACTGATAGATTAAAATCTATTTTAAATGCACACTTACAGCTTCTGCTTCAGCTGGATCATACCAGACAGTAATATAAGGATGACGTAAGGCTTCATCTACAGAAATTCTCTTGTCTGGATCTACTACAAGCATTTTTGATAGTAAATCTCTAGCTTGGCTGGCTGAAAAGTAAAAATGAAAAGAACACGTAAGAGAGCTGCAGAGCTTAACATCTGATGCAGAAAATGAATACTGGGATCACAAGGTAGCAGATTTCACTGTGGAAACAGGCCTGCAAATCCAAGCTTTCCTATACAGCTACTTTTTTTTTTTTAAATGAGGTCACACCCCTTTAGCGTAAATGTGATTTTGCTATTAACCAAAATAAACCCTGCAGCTGACACCAACCAACTTCAGTTTTGAACAGTTCTGCTGTTACACGAGTCACAGTTTATTTGACAATAACTACATAAAATACACTAAACATTTTTAATAAGCTTTTAAAAATACATCTCGGTAGAGTGATGATCTAATTTCTGTAATATCACATTTTATTTTCTTTTAAAGGTGTTACTAGTGTAACAGCCTACCCATTGTTGCAGTGGCACTTCATTGACATCCCTTTTTTGCCTGAACGATCATTGTAATGATACAATAGGCTACAACAAGTTAGTTAATGTAAAAATAATTATTTGACCATCTAGAGAATATAACAAAGTAGGTTGTTTCTTCATTTGATCAGTAATTATTTAAAGCCAAGTATAACCAAAATGAATTATATGCACACATCAACTAGAAAAAGATACTTACAAATAACCTTCATAAACCTTATTACTTTCAGAGAACATTTAAGTGACAGACATTATTCAAGAGATTAGAATTCAGAGAATTAAACAGAGTACTGGGAACAGGGAAATAGCTCTGTATGTAATGACCACTACCAAAATTACAGGACACGGCATAAATGAAAGTAACAGAAGGTATGCAGCTTCTAATGTCAACACCTATGGCAATAAACATTTTACACTAGGTAGTTGTTTTGGTGTTTTTTTAATTTCATTTTAAAACAACACTTTAAAAAAAATAAAAACACCACAACAAAAAAACCCACAGAAACAAAACCAAACCCGCCTTACTTTTCAACTTGTCACGATCAGATTCTGATGGAAATATCCAGTCTGGGAAGAGCTCTTCAAATTTAATACCAGGGTATTTGGGCCTGTTTTCTACATAATTCCTCACTGTAGGCTGTAGTTTCTTCATGAAGTCTGCTGATGGTGTTCCTAATTGTTCTATAACTTTATTCCATTGATCAATATCTGCACCGTATCTTTAGGAAAATCAGCTGAAGAATTTGAAATCTGCACTATTCAAAAATATCACTTACAGAAATCTGAAAAGTTAATGAAAACTTGAACAAAGGACACAAATATGAACTTCATCCTAGCATCAACGGTATCCTGAGCTGTCACACAAAAAGCTAGACCGACATAAAAATAAGATTCAGATTCTGTAATCTTAAGGACAGGCTAGAAGTGCTGCACAATGCATTATGCTTTACTATATCTTGCAATACTTTTTTGGAGTGCAAAAGAAGCTTTATTTGGCAATTGTATTCACAGCAAAACATGAGGGTATATAAGACCAGAAAAGAAAGGCTGCTGCCGAATCTTCTGAAGTGTAACATGATGCCATCAACACCGAAGATTCTTGAAGGCAGAGAAAAATACATTTAAAAAAACACTTAAAAGCACAAACGCATCCCATTCGAAGCAAGGAATTTTGTGCCTGTCTCCTAAGGAAAGCTTTGGGTTGTAGCACTGGCAACTGTTTCTTCTGGACGATCCTTTCAAGTGAAGGCATTTCCCCTACACATGGTGACACTTGGTATAGAGACAAGAGTCCGCTCTGAACGGGCTCAGTCAGATAACAGAGCTCATTTATCACACTGAGAAGACACTGCATGAGTATCCCTGAGATTTAAATTTACTCAGATTTGCACTTTACAGTTTCTCCCTGATAAAGAGAATGTGCCATTCTAGCAGAGTCTAACCATCACCCTTGCAAACATTCACTGCTAAATAAATGATCTAGCACTTCAACCTATCTATTCTCATATAGATTTTACTAGAAAACAACAAATTTGCTGCACTTTGAATTAAGATGTATTTATAAAACACTGAGGAGCTTTTATTTCAGTTAGTGTGCCAAGAATACTACTAGAAATACCTGTGTAGTCATTGTGTCATGCTAAGACTTTAGACTTCTGATACAAAGATTGAAAATTATATTTGCTTATTGAATACATTCCAATGCAAAAAATTGTATTCAAATAAAAATTAACAAGCCAATATTGTTAACACTCATGCTGAAACAAAGCACATACAAAGAAAATTAACGTACATCAGGAAGTTTTGTCCCTAGCCAGAGCACTGATTTCTGTGAGAGCTCCACCAATCTGGATTCAGGAAGATGCTTTTTCTTTGCCTAACAGCAGCCTGGTTAATCAGCTAAACCAAATCAGAGTCTGGTCTATCTCAGAGCACTGGGGGGAGGGCAGGAAAACTTAATGACCTACCCCACGTTGAGTACTAAGAACTGGAAAACAGTATTTCATTTGGATTGCTACAAGGTACTTTACAGCTACTGAAAATACTTTTTTTTAAAAAATCCCCAGTATAGGGTTGGGCTTGAAATAAGATAAGCCTCTTATCAGAAACCAAACTGGGAAAAAACCTTAATTTCAATGTAAAGCGTGCAGAACGTGCAACGTGAGCAACTTTGCAACCCGCGGACAAAGCTACCCTTCCTGTTCCAGTGACCCCAGGGCCAAAAGTAACCAGAAAGTCAGCCCGGGACAAGTATATGTGCCTACTTTTTGGGATTCTGGAGGAAGAGAGTTGAAAACAGAGTCCTTGCTACAATCATTATAAAGCATGTTTTTTCCCAAGAAAGCATGAATGTACCCTCATACTTTCTGCATCAGCCAGGCAATTTGTTTCCTTAAGGGCATTAAAACCAATGGTGCTGCAAGGCTTTCCATTACATCGCCTCAGGTATCTACGTTGCCTGGTTTTCTACATTTCTCATTTCCAGTGCAACAGCAACTGTCAGTAATTCAGACCAGTGACTGTAATGGCCCTGCTCATTCCCCATTGCACCACGCAGGGGCAGGCTCGGTGCGTCCATCACCTCAGCAACACAGAGCATCTCACTCCACCCAGAGCACTGCTGCAATTATCTTGGCAATCCCTGTTGGTCATACAGGAAAATACAAACTATTGAGTCTAAAAGTAGGCTTTCCTGAAGATAGTCAAGGGCACATCATTAGGCAACGTGCTGAACTTGGTTCCCTGCTCTAAATCCCCAAATAATAAGGTATTTTAATGTTTAAGTTAATGAAAAAAATCCAACAAAAATATTTGAAAGCTTTATGACGATGCACACCAGTGCTCCCACTAAACCAAACCGTCAAAACAATCCTGCAGCTGAAGGTAAAAGAAAACAACAATCTGACTGAAGCAGTTATCACTTGGGAAAAGTTGCAACAACACAAACAGTTTTCAGTATTTCACTTTAAAGAGAACTGAAAGTCTTAAGAGAGGAAAAACACACCCTCTGTAAGCAAAGCTGTGCACTTCGATAAGATGCCAGGGGAGGAGACTCCTTGAAACACAGATTGGTGGAGCTTCAGTGACCTCCAGAGAACCTCGAATAATAACTTGGGTATTCAACAAGTATGGACAAAATTTCCTTTGTTTATTCATGAATAAATCAAAACAGCCCATGCTGACATGCAGGTGAGAGACATAACACACATGAAGAATTGTGTTAGGTTGGTCTGAAGGCTTCAAAAGGTAAAATAATAAGTATAGAAAGGAAGAAAGGTGGAAAACAAAGAGACTTCTTTAACAATTAATCATTTATACTACTAAATTAACGCATGATCAACTGCTGAAGATTAGTGTCACGAAATTTAGCACAAAATTTAAAGTTCTCCTCTAGAAGGTACATAGGTTTAAATGAAAAGATTCTGTGAACATATTCTTGGTATTTTTAGTGGTGGACTCAACTTCCACTTGCTGACGAGCAAAAATATTACCCTTTCTTCAAAACCTTGGACAAGCAGCTATGGCTTCTTATGACCCATAGCCGTAACTGGAAATTGTCCTTTCATTACAGCATCTGGGTCCTATTTATTGACTGATCAATTTTGAATGTTTAGTCCTACAACACTTACTTACAAAGGACAAAACTGGTTTTGCTCCAGTTTTTATAACTGGAACTTGATGATGAGTCAAATGTTTTAAATTTTGTTTCTAGGGCAATATTTGGAGATATATCCAAATCTTCAAAGAACGTTTACTTTATTAAACAATCACTTCTGTTCACTTTATTAAGTGTAAAGACTTCTTTGTGATCCAGTGATGCATTACTGAGATTTCCAATCTCTGAGGCATGAAAACATATATATGAGGGTTTGGTTTGTTTTCAGTACACTAAAATGTCTTACAATTACTATCATAAGAGAAAGCAGAATGTTATGAAGCTAAATCTCAGTCGAAAATATTGGAGGGAGGAATGGAGGAATACCAATCTTACAGAAAAAGTAAGTCCAAAATAAAATCTTCATAGAATGGAAAAAACTCCAAAAAGTAAAAAGTTCTTTTCATAATAAATAATAGCAATGAAGAAAAAACATTTCTCATGCACTGTGCTTGCAATTAGGACACTGCTGTCCAGCAAGTGCTAATAAGCAAGAAAAAAAATCTGTCTGAAACTCAAAAAATTGTACAAGAATGAGTCTGCTGTTCAAATAGTAAGCAAAATCCATGCATAGTAAAAAAAGTAACTTTGTAGGCTTTTGCTTGTAACACGTATCTACAAAGAACAAGAGTCAGAAAATATACTTACTGCTATTTTTTTAAACCTAACGGTATCCTTTCTTAAGCCACAAAAGTTGAAGCTCTGAATATAAATTCTATGTATTCAACCCGCACAATTAAATATAGACTAAGAAAATAAAATGAAAAGCTCAACAGTTTGATTAATGACACTAATTTCAAGAAGTACAGTAGATCTATTAAAATATATTATCAAAATTATTGCTTATGCTTTTATACTTATACAGATCAAAGTAATTGTGTTTCTGTTGGAAGTGGGCTGGGATTCAAGGATGACTAGGGAAGGATACGATCAGTGCCTTGGAATATCACACAACCTTTCACCAATTCTCCCATGATGCACCCAACTGACCAGATATCAACTGAAAGTAAAAATGAAATGATCAAATTATGAAGTATCATGAACAAAAGTGAGGAAAACAAACAAAAACATCTAGCATCTACAATAAAACACAACAATGTGGAAAACCAAACTGCTAACATTAATTTTCAATCATATCAACACCAACCGACTGTTACTAGCATCTTGTAAAATATAAGCAGTGTTTACATTTCTGAAACGACCGTGAAGAAGGATACAATCTCTTCCCGGGAACAGGACTTTATGGAGGACCATTTCTGCCATAATGCACCCAACAGACCAGATATCCACTATCACACGTTAGGTGCAACAAGGACAAAAGATTAGAGGGTTTTTTTAAATACCACAATTATTTATTTGTAAGCTCACACTGCATGCCTACAGTCCTGCAGATCATTTATTTTTTGTCACATCCAGAACAGTCTCTACTAAAGCTGTGATTCACATCAGTGCTTGCTCTATAACAAGCTGCCTTGTGCATTAGACTTTTTTTTTTTACATAATCAGAGGCCCAGCAAGGTCCTGCACCTCCCTTGTTTTGCAGAGCCAAAGTTACACGTCTACAAAAAGCATGGTACCCCAAGCCCCTGTGATAAAACAAAAACATATACTAGCATAGAAGTCCAGAGAAGGCAACATATTATTCCAAGCTAGTAAAAATCAGCAGGTAAAACTCCAATAATGCAAGTCAAGGACAATTCCCTGGCCAGCAATTTTGTTGGCTGAATGTCCAATATAATACAGCTGTGTTGCTTTTAATAAAATAATACCCCAACATCTTTAACTGCTATGTAGATTTAAGAGAGTATAAGACACAGTTTATCATAGGGCTCTGAAACAGATCTTAATCATCAGACATGCAATGGGGGACAGACTATTGAAAGAAGATGCTTCAGAATAAAAATCACATTGATAAAGGGTTTATTATTTATATATTTATGCCTGTTATTTTTTACTATCATCTTGAATAAATGTCTCAACAGTTTTTTGTATAATAAAAAAAGAAGGCAACAAGACAACAGGACAACACATGAAAAGACATGACAAAGGTAGGGGACAGTGAGCAGTATACATTAAATGGAGATAGGCACACAAATCAGAAAATTATTATCATCTCCAAAATTATTACAGTGTAATTTCTGTTACTTCTAATATAACAATTAACATTCTTTAACAACAGACATGGCAGGGGGAAACCAGCCTTCCTCTCTCCTTTTTTATGATCTCAGACATATGGTTTACACAAAAGATTTAAAGTGCTACTCCAGCAACTTACCATTCTCCTTATATCCCATTCCAAGGATAACCTCTGGTGCTCTGTAGTACCGTGTTACTACATATGGAGTCATCATAAAGTTAGTACACGCTGTTCTTGCCAGTCCAAAATCGAGGATTTTGAGTGTACAATCTGATTTTACTACAATGTTGCTGGGTTTCAAATCCTAACAAGAAATTACTTCAGTTAAGGAAGAATCAACATAGTGAATAATACATTTCCTCCCTCCAACTCAATATATCCCACCAGTTCACTTCACATTAACAACTACATACTCATGCTCTGATCCATCTGTTTATCTATACACAGATTTGAGACAGGTTAAATGCTGCACACCCAAATAGTCAAAAATTTAGGGATAACCAGAATCAAAGTTGTCTGCATTCTTAATTTACCTTGTTGTGCACTAACAGCACAGTCAGTTACATAGCTGTGGGCATATGCACAATGCACACATATATATCTACTTCCTTTTACACATTAAATGGACATGTTTTGGATATGAATAGTTGCACAGAAAATGAGACTGCTTCAAGTGCTGTCATTATTAGGACACAGATCCTAAAGACAACATTGTGAATTAGCCAGGTATCTGTAGGAAAAGGAGTGTCCCAACACAAAAAGCATTAACAAGTGTATTTGTTAATCATGGATAAGCCACTTGTGCTCTAGTGATTGGCAGGTTTCAGAGTCAGAATTAGGATGTAGTGAAAACACAAAGTTACCTGGTGCACGAGGAGAAAAATACAATACTTTAGGAGGTATGACTCATGATTGCACCCAAAAGAATAGAGTTAGGAAAACTAGAATAATTGGGGTTTATTCACAAAATATCAGCAGTAGCCGAATCACAGATGCACCAGTACATTTAATTCTGCTCAAGCATTTAACTTAGTTTCAACTACACAAACCATGTTCTCAGGTACAGAACTTCCTTTTCTTAAAGGAGATGAGGACATACAAATAGTTCATGTGGGTTTGCACATTTTAGGAAGGCAACAAACCTTCTGCAGAATGCTACTGAATTTACTATCAGCTGGGTTGGAGTCTGCACAGGACTTTCAAATTCTGATCATTTACAAACTTTACTTTTCAGAACCACAGAATAGTTGAGGTTGGAATGGATCTCTAGAGGTCACCTGGTCCAACCCCCCTGGTCAAGCAGGGCCACCTACAGTCAGTTGCCCAGGACCATGTCCAGGCAGCCTTTGAATATCTCCAAGGATAGAGATATTTAAGAGGTAAATGTTACATTTTCAAGGCTCATTCTTTAGTAATTTGAAAGGTTCACAGATACTCACATTTTAATCAGTTCAGCATTAGTTAAATCCACAGAGCTAACCTAATTTACAATACAGACTTTCTCTTTGAACTAGAAAGAATTTTCAGGTTTAATATTAAACTCATGAATGAAAGGAATATAAACTTACAAAGAAACAACCCCTTGCCTTCCCCCATGTTTCATACAGACATCTGTGTTCATAAAGAGTATTGCTAATGATCTAATACTACCTACTCTGTGGATGATACCAGCTGAGTGGAGATGTTTGATACCACATAGCATTTGGTAAAGAAGGTAAGACATTCTTTCGTGATCCAACTCCATGTGAATAACCTGGCACAAATTTGCATCCATCAGCTCCATAACCAAATATCTAAAGCACAAGAAAGAAAGCATTCAGAAAACTCAAGTCTTGCTTTTAATTTCAAGTTTAAGCTTAGCATGAGAGATGTTTAATAAAAGTCAACTACTTTGCCAGTGTTAAGTGTCAAAAAGCTTACGATTAAAAATAATCATCCATGACCACAGTTTCAAAATTATCTATTCAAATAGTCTATTAAAATTAAGTGTTCAATCAGAAGAGATTATAGTTTCACTAGTTTTATAAACAGTAATACAGAAGAACAAACCTGATTTTATGAAGCATGAAAAACTAAGACAGAAGTTGATGCAGAAACTGCAGATACTGCAATGTATCAAAAATGATGCTTCCTTTCACTATATTTTAATTTAAGAACTTAAGAAAATAAAGAAAAGAACAGGAATACCCAAGAAGAAATGATTCATTTTCAAGTGAAAATACCTGCTTACCCTCTCTTCAGACACACACACTCCCCTATTTACCCAAGAAGCCCATTCACAAACCACAACAGTTTATTCACTGGAACCCATGAACACTCCAACAATTAAATCACTGCGAATCCCTTCAAGACCAACTGACACAGCTGGCACAAAATAGAAATATACTCAGCTCTTAATTGAGGCAAAAAAATGCTGTTATGCTGATGTGACTGGTGTGGCCAAAAAATGGTACCAGATTACCCAGACCAAGTTATTATCCTGAGGTACCCCTTTAGCTAAAGGACAACGCACACAAACCAGACACACATGCAACAGCAAAGTATGGCAGAAAGATGAATAAAAGGTAAATAACCTTTTTTTTTTAATTTCCACTTCCAACTTATTCATGTTGTGAAACACCTTTCTTAATCTTTCTTGAAGAAATCTAGAAATAAAGACTAATCAAAGGCTAACTCAGCTTTTAGCTACCCTCTGTTTTCCAAGTGTGAAGTCTGTAGGATAATGGAAATACAACTCCAAGGCTTAGGCTAGTATTTGTCAGGAGAATGAAAATAAAAGTAATACTTACACATCCTGAAATTCTTCTAGTGACTTCTGTGGTGTAAATACATTTAATAAACTAATTATCTATAAAATAAAAAAAATAAACATTAGAAGAAACTTTGGCTTTAATTCACACAAAAATCCACAATTGCAGAAGTTACTATTCAGAATCAAATGCACACTGTTATCATACACAATTTGAATGTTACTTGTCTGCACTTCATTCACACGTGCTGAAAAAGTGCTGATTCAGAAATAGTTCAAAACTGCAGCGTGTATGCCAAAGGAACTAAGATAGGACAAAGCCACTTTTTTCTTTTTAAATTTATACACCACCTTCTATCTTCCTCTCTGGTGCCTGAAATATAGCCCGTATTTTCCCCATAAATAGTAATCTCTTATTTTAAATCACATTGTGCAGGGAATTTTAACCAAGGCTGTCCAACAACACATACACAGAGGTGCCCCATGCCATCGCATTGCACTTTGACTATGATGCACTATTTCTAGAACTGCTAAAACTACTGTACTGCCATCCTTAATAACCACCTCGCTTTTATTCTGCTATTTCTGGACTTCACCAGAAGCTTACTCAAAAGTCAATCCTAAAAGATTAAGTGACTCCAGGAAGTTTGGGACCTGAGCGCACAACTTCAATGATCAGCAATGATTCTAATTCATGTCGGTATCAGAAGGTAAAAGTCACATAAACGTTATATTCTTGAACTTGAACACTGAAGTATTGACATTAAGGCATGATATTTTAAAGGGTTCAAAGATTTAAAAATACATATGTATTGTCCATAGAATTTCACTTCTGTCTACCAGTAAATTGTTAAGATAGTGCTGCAGCCCCGCAAACCCCACCAATTAAACACTCTATTTAATAAAAATCTTGCCAAATATCAGAAAACTTAGCTACAAGAGCCAAACCCACAAAAAATCCCACTGCCAAACAGGCTTTGCTGCAGTACAACTTCAAAGGGCAAATGTAATACAGCAAGGCCAGCTCTATAAAGCTGACACTGATGGTAAACCTATACCAACAGCGCAGCAAAAGCCTCCTCCTCTTGGTACTGCATACTCCAAACAGCTCACCCAAGAATTGAACCATACATTGTGGAGAACATTACCCACAGCAAATCTTTCCAGTCTTTCTCTCACTATTCTTCCTTTACTTTGGTTACTAACAGCAAGTCAGAGCACAAATCTTGAGCTTTTAGACAACTTACAGTGATGAGGGAGAGAAATATAAAGCCAAACTTACATTTTTGTGATTGACACATTTTAAAAGAACAAGCTCTCTGTAAGCTCTTTTTGCGTGGGTTTGATTCTGAAAAGGACGACTCAGCTTCTTTACAGCAACATTTATTCCAAGGACTGTGTCAAACGCAGCACTACAAGTTTGCAAAGACAAACAACTTAAGTTGAGGTCTGTTTGCGGGAAAGGAGGGGGCAAAAGGGAGACGGGAGTGAGGAAAGAGGTCAAGATTTGAGACAGAGCATATCCACTAAGCTGTTTATACTAACTTCAACTGATTTTCATTTAGAAAACAAATGTCATTTAAAATCAGCACATCCTTTAATAAATACAAATAGGTTCAACAGAAGGCACTGACACTCATGAGAACACTTCCTGCCCTCCTTTCTGTTTTAAGGCCAAATCTGCTGACTCAAGACTGACATTCATAATTGCAAGATCTAAAAATATTTTAAGGTTATTTGAAATCAAGAGACATTTCAGTTGCCTAATCTGTATACTTGCAGTATTTCTGAAGACTGTTGCTGACTGACAATCATTCAGTATTTGCAACAGAAATATCTTTTTGCTGAAGGAGAATCACAACCACGTCTTTGTGATCCATTCTGCAGGTATCAATACTCTCTATGTAGATAGCTTACAATTATCAACAACTGTAGTGCCTAGTAGAAAATTACATTCATCATCTGGTTTAAAAAAAAAAAAGGAAAACTCAGATTGCAGGGAGCAACATAAGTTTAAAAGCGAACATGACCATTAATTTTATCTTGGTTTTCAGTTGTGTTTGTTTCTTCCCTCTGCAGTTTGAGGTACAGATGGAAACTTGCTTTAACAGCTGTAATAATCTAAAGCTAAATTATCTGTATATCCAGAACAAGACTAAAGTGGGGATATTCTTCATTATTAGCACAAGAACTATTCACCTAAATATATGTGAATTCATACCACAGACTACCCAAGAGTTCCAATCTTTAAACAGTTCCAGTATTAAATAAGGATTCCTACATTACTCTATTTCCATTTAACACTACTTTCATAACCTTCATTCACATAGATTTTCCAAGCACATTTAAGGTCTTTGTGAGCTCCTTTGCTATCTCATCAAGGTATGTACAGTACCTGACTTCAAAGGACCATCACACTATAGTACTCTTTCAAAATGTACAGCTCCTCCACAATAACAACAATATTTAAAGTATGTGAAGTTTACCAACACGAGTCACTGCTTTCCCTGCTGGAAAAAGCAACACCACCACAGAGCAGGTCTCACCCATGAGATGCTGCATTTCCTTGGAGGCACATCCCAACTTCGAGTCAATGTGCCATTTACTCTAAAAGCTTGCTAACAATTATTTCAGTGTAGTTCTGTGAAATATGCAAGTCATTACTCAACGATGGAATCACTTTCAGATTGAAAGCTTTTATGTCTGTGCAAAGCAAAAGACAAATTGGGAGGAAGGCAACTGGTCAGGCAACTGGAGAAATTATTTTCCTCTCAAATAGGGAAGAACTGATATTTCAGTATTCACTTTACCTAGAAGATATTACATGCAAATTTAAGTTTTGCATATGTTAATGACTTTGCACTTGGGAATTAATATAAAATCAATAATCAACACAGTCCACATGAATTAGCTGTTCAAGTCAACCACAGGTCAGCAGTGGTCAAAGGAGCAATTTTAGGGAAGTGCCCCTTTGTGATCTGACAAGTCAGGTTATGTCAAAGCTCAGTCTGAGCACATATGAAGAACTCCACCTGAACCCCATATTTTGCTCTTCTACGTGGGAGTAACTGACAATCCACCTCAGACAAACCAACCACAATCCAATGAGAATTAAAACCAACAGACTGGCAGAAGGAAGAAAAAAAAAAAAAAGGGTAAACATTTGTGTGAGCATGCATTTACTTAATTTACCAAGGAAAACCAAAAGGCAGAATATAACCTCTATTACCACTAAGACCATACATCTAAAAATCACAATTTTAGATAAATGAAGAAAAAAAATTTGGTGTAATTGGTGTTAAATTTTTCCTCAACCCTGCTCATTTGAATTCAAAAGATATTTTTCATCATGACAACTGCTTCTGATTTTAAAAAGCAGATTTGCCAGAGTCTCCCCAGTTATCACCTTTGCTACTAACAGAACATCTATAAATTATTTCAGCATTTGATATCACAGAAGAATCTCAATGTCTATCCCTTCATGTAACAGCAATTTTAAGTTGATCATAGTGAACTGTAGTAGCGTCTTTACTCCACTTGTGATAATATTGAGTGCTTGCTCAAGATGCAATACTTAGTGATGCCACAAACACAATGAAACTATTAACAAAACATTCCAACCTAAATTATAGTAGGAATTTGAACTACTGTCTACTACTACTGCAGACTGCTCTGCCAGTTTCACTTCAACACTTTCAGTATTGTCTAAACAGGAGTTTGCAAATAGTAACAAACTTACCCTGATTGCTCCTGCGACTGGAAGTACAATTATTAACACAAAGCTGTGCTATTTATAAGATCATGGGTTTGCTGCATTGCAGGAAAAAAGAAAATTGCTAGGACAGAAAAATCAGATTCACTAGAAAATTTAGGAAATCAAGGACAAGAAAGGAAGAAAAGATGTCAGGAAGTTAAGACAGAAATTATTTTAAATTAATAGTTTTGTGCAAGTGATTACTCAGTCCTAAATAGAGAATACTTCAAATGTATTAAAGAAGTGTGGAAAGTCATGTACGGAAGTGTACTTTGTAAAATACAAAAGGGATATCCAATTTCTCTCCTAGCCTGTTTGCAGTGTGAGCTACAGACACCCTCTACATAACAATCGAGTTCCTTTTTCCATCTTCCTAGAGCTTTCATTTATTGCTTTTCCTAAGTATGTGTTTTCAAAACTATTTTCCTACATTTTAACGTCAAAGAAAAAAAAAACTAAGCAGAAGCAATACCAATGAAGTTTCCCATCAATATTTTGAGAGAGGGCGAGTGCAGAAAAGAACAGCAAAATTCAGACCTCTCCTAGTTGAAATGACACATGGTATTAAAAATTGCTCACCAAAAAATATAATCTACACACAACTCCAGAAATACTTTTCCTAATTTTTATGTTAAACACTGGCTGACAAAAAAAGCGTCATATCTGTATGTCACACAAATGACTCGACAACTTCTCAACCCAAACATGACAAGATAGCACTCACCTTACCCCAAGTTTCCTACATTTTACATTCTAGCATTTTGTATCTTTCATTTGCGTACTATAAGGAATTTATGAGAAATTCAGATTTTGCACACCTTCTTCAACTTGGACATGGTTTTCAGATATTTCACAGCAAGATGAAAATTTATGCAATCTTTCACTCTGTTGTTGCATAAATCAAAACAAGTCAATAAATCAGATCATCCCTTTTTCCTCCCAAAATGTTGACCTTAACTCTACCCTAACTTCATTCTGAAGCAGACACCTAGTTTAAGGCATATAGATTAGAAACGCACTACTTCTGCTGAAAGGAGGAACACTTACAACTACCCTAAACCCCTGCATCCCATCTAGAACAGGAGTAACTTTAAGAATATTTGTACCTGGAAAATGTTAGTACTAAACTAAGTCTTACCCAAACACTAATAACCAAGTTCTAGTACGCCTTTCCACTCATCACTCAACCCACAAAAGAAGAATGAAATACGGTGTTCTCCTTTTGCTTATTTTTAATCTATTAGCAAGGCAAAGGGGGTATCTAAATAATGTAAATATAAAGGCATGTTCTCACAACAATATGCTCTTTTCCTACGTATATAACTTATGACAGTTATGAAAAGGTCAAAAAGACATGGGCACGTGCTGCAGAATGAGTAGCTCACAATACATGAGTCATCACACTTATTCTGCAGAATTTAGAGATGAACAGAAAGTGCAGACTGGAATTAAAGCATGAACAGCCCACCATGTGTTGTGATTAAGTCTACTATTAGAATGCTCCTGAGCATATCTGTTTGCTGCCCTGTGTACGGAATTGTAAAAATGCATCAATAAACATTTCTGATGTTACCCAGTAAGTTTTGCCCAACAAAATACGGGCTGGCACTAAGTCGTGCAGAATGGATTGCTGCAGTCTAAAAAACATTTGAAAATGTTTACCTTGAGCTGGCCCAGAGGTGTGGTGCCATACAAGAGACTAAGGTTCAGGATCAGACTAACGACTCTCACGTCCTGGGCCAGTGGAGGCTGGACACATAGCTGAGGTGACACACCAAGGAAGAGCCGGCCAGCCCAACCCCACACACAGCATCCCTTTCTGGTTAATCCATGGAGTGACAATGACACTGAATTGCCTCATCCTGCCAGTTAATGGCAAGGCACTGCATTGATGGCTCCTAGAAATGGACAGGAGTGATTGGGAATAAAAGAGGGGGAAGAAAGGGGGCCATGATGAAGAAACGAGTAAAACCCAGAATCTCTCACCACCGCATTGTCATACCTTACACTGCAACATCATAACTACATGGGGAATGGGAGAACTAGAAACAGAAATAAAGTGGTTAATGTGAAGGAAATTTGTTGACTATTTTAATTTGAGCAGTTATCCAAAAATTAGTTTTCTCCTAAAAAAAAAACCAAGAAAATAGGTTTGCACATGAACTATAGCAAGCAGGTGTTTTCAAACTTATTTAGTCCATAACCCTGTAGCAAGAGGCAGAAATTATCATCAGTATTTTACATTCTGGCACCTCTATTAAGAATACAGTCAAACTTCGGTTTATACTTATAGTTTTTAATATTTAAATGATGTATTTATTACTCACCAAACAATGCCCTGTGCCCCTGATCCTATGGGCTTCAATTGCTGGTAACGTTTTAGTACAGTGAATGTTGAATCTGCAACTTGAACACTGTAAAATTGACTATCACATTTACTGTCAGTCATGGTGTAGTGTCATGTAGTTTTCTCTCTCAAAGACCTGGTAAAGTTTTCAAGATCTTAAAGAAAAAGAAAGAAAACAATTGTTCAATCTTAAACTAATTTCAGGCAGGCAAGATGGAAAATATATTATGCATATTTTAATACATACAAATTTTTCAATAGCACACCATTAAATAAGCGTTCATTCAACTTCATGTATTACCACTGCTAATGAAAAACACTTGCAGACAGACAGCAAAAAACTACAGCTTTAAGTAAATGCATGTTTCTATTCCAATCCCTAAGCCAAAAAGCAGCCAAGTAAACAACTGTAAAAACAAATACTCAGATCCAACAAGTCATCTCCTTGAGGGCTACTCCCTAACTCAGAACTATTACTGTATTAATTTCTGTATAACAGAAAAAAAATCATAAATGGTGTCTTTCAAACAAACACTGATAATGCAGATAAAAGCAACAGCAGAAACCGATGGAGTCAACAAACATAGAAAGAAACAGTCTTAATAAAAGACTTGATTACAACTGCAAAACAGGTCTGAAACAAAACAACTGTCCCCAAAATCCCCATGGCTGCTGCAGTTTCTCCGACATCCCTTTCAACCTAGTTTAGTAGGAAATTTCAAGCAAGGCTCTGCCTCCCTTCCTCTGCCAGACAACCCTTCTCTGATAATACCTACCACAACCCCCTGTCTCTCCCATTTGAAACATACCATAATATCCTATGCTATCAGTTCATGTACTTATAGTCCTACAAGAATTGAGAGTTTTGCGCTATAGTTTGAAAGAGACTTGCACACCATAACAGAGAATAAGTTCTGTCCATCTGTCAAAAATGAACTAGAAGTAGGTAATTACACGAAAAAGCAAGGTAATGGAGTAAACCTCTTTAGCTCTAAAGTGCTCCAGTAACGAGAGCACAGACCTTCGGCTTTCCTGGATCTTCATCCCACTTCCTAACCTTACCAGAAAATTACCTCAGTAATTACTAAAGAGACCTCCAACAATTTCTCCAATTTTTAATGTCACATTCACTATGACAGATAGCGTCATTAGAGCCCAGAGTACATTGCTCAAACTGCTCCTTGGAACAGGAAATGAAAGCAGATCACCTTCCCCCGGAGCAGCTGTCCTAACCACCAGCAGGACCACGGCTGTTTCTGCTAAAGAAAGAGCAGCTATTCTCTCTTTTTGCTGGCCTACAGAATATTTGTGAGCAAATGCAAAACATAAAAGCCTCAAGAGCAATCCAGAATCCCACCATAGAAGGGCATATGGCCACATGAACAGCTTTTAGCTGCTTCAAGAATCAGAGTTTGGACCCCTCTCTTTCTGGGCACATGTAGGAGGGAGCAGCATCTTTTCTCTGGCTAAAGCCAGCAGACGAACTCCAAGAAATCTGCAAGTAAAACATGAAGACCTACAAATCCTAACAAGGACCAAGTTTAAATTGAACTGGTAATGGTAAGGGATTCCCAAGAAGTGTCTAGAGACCCTTTTACCTTCTACATTCTCAAAACCTAAGCAGCATTTTAAGGAGTAAATATTCAACTTGGTCATCTCTAGCAGCAATTTAAACAGTAAGTTTACTTGATATTTCCTCTTAGAAGCTTAAGAAAAATAGCAGAGGAGAAAGGATTAGCAAAGGGAAAACGTGAGGTACCAACTTTCTGCCTATGCCACAGCAGCAGCATGGGGGCAGGGGGAAGAGAATTACATCTCCTGTACATTACTTTTAGGGTCAGATGCAGTTCCACAATTAGCTCGCACTACTGTGAGACTAAAATGCTGCCTTAAGAGGTGCCTTCAACCTTTCCTACTACATCCCAGAAAAAAATCCCACTCTTCTTGCCACTCCTTATTACTCCAAAGCTATGGACTCCAAGGTACCAAACTTTTCGATTAACCACCCCTGAGTAATCACGGTATTTTCAGTGAATCTTCAAACACTGGAAGAAAGGTATGGCTGAAAGGTCAAGATCCTATCTCTGAAAAAAACTTGCCGAATAAAATCAAAAAAGTATAGATTTTGCATAAGCTAGGGATCAAGTTAAAGACCTATTAGTCACACAAGAACTATGCTGTACCTCTTCACGGGTTATTGAAAGACTTTTCTATAACAGAGATAAAGAAGTAGGGGAAAAGGAAGTTATCCTGAACTAGATAAACCCTCCGTTTAAGGAACCTTGTCTGCACAAAGCCATCTTTTAAAAATCATTTAGAGATCAGGATAAGCCCTTTAGACAAGATCCAGAGAGGGAATTAGGCATCACAACACACAAATTCTATGTATTCTGACATCCTTTGCAACTTACCATGCTAAGTACCTGGCCTGTCCATAAGCTGAGCCCTAATTTTTACTTGGGCTGCAAGCTGTTTGGATGCATATTTTATTTCATGCATACATTATTTCATACACATTAATGTAAAATTATGAGCCCAGGGATTGTAGCTGTTCACAAGACTTCAGATAGATGATGTATTTTGGGGGAAAGATCCTTTAAATAAAAACACATTTCCCATTGCTCAGAGGAAAAGTATAACTGGCAAATAAATTTCTTAGTCCTTAGCTGGTGCTCTCCTACCCGAAATAGTTTGAATCATCACTCCAGCTAACATACTCCACACTTCTCCTATACAGGAATTTTTGTGAAGTAGGCACTGTTTCCATTTCTGAAATACAAGTTTTCATTTATGGCTTCCTAGCTGCAGGTGCACCAAACAGGACCAGCAGCAACGTCACAGGATGGTCAGCAAATGCACTAGTACTTACTGATAACAGCATGTTACTGAATCACAATGTTTCAAGATGTTTTCCTATTCTAGAACACACACAAGTTGCATATAAATTGAGTGGTTAGGGGCTTTTTCATATAACCTGCTTGTACAATTGGAGTAATTTAAGAGTCAGAAAGCTGACTGAGCACATCACATGCAGAAAACTTACAGGAGTGACTTTCAACCTACAGTTCATGAAAGATAACTAGAAAAATAACAAACACACCAAGCCTACCAAGAGTAGGCTTATGAGTTGTTATATGGAATTCTACTGTGAAATTTTTAGAAGTTGAAAGCAACTGCACTATAGCATACATCCTGTATTAAACAGTCACTTCCCTAAAAGGCATTTATTAAAATGGCAACTTATTATTAACCAGATCTGTCCTCTGGATATCTTCAAGTCAAAAGCTTCTGAAACAAACAGGTTGTAGCAGTTAGGAATGCATTCCCAGGGTTGTTTTGGTTACAGAAATGTTATTACTGACAATGAAGCTTAAGAACATCAAGAAACAGCTTGATTTTTAAGCCTGAAGCTAAAATTCTACTGCTGACAGAATGAACAGACAATGAGCAGAAAATCTCTCGCCCATTCTTATTCATCCTTGCAAAAGCACTTCAAATTCAGGTGTGCCCTTTTAAAGGCTATTATCCAATTGTGCTAGGTTTTTTTAATCTTTACAGCAATATATATCAACAGGTATGAGTCCAGCTACAAAATCACAGCGAGTTACTTCCTATCTCTCCAACCACAACCCTTAGACAGTCTGTTGCAAAAGGTAAGTGTAGCAAAGCAGTAACTGAGTAACATCAACTGGTTGCGACTGTATCTCCTTAGCTCTTTAAAAAGTTGACCTTTTTCTTCAAGCAACCCAAACTACTACAGACCAAAGATGCCATCAACTACCTGTTACAGTATCAATCGGCTGTTAATAATAGCCTGCAGACAAACACTGGTTGTATCTCAGCGTCCCTGCTAGGGAAAGTTGATGGAAAGAGGGGAAAAGTTTAAATGTACACCTGCTGTAACCAATTACGCTGTTGTAAAATTCCGTCACAGCCGTATAACTGAGCCACAGCACTTCTTGCATCGCTCCTAAAACTTCTGCCGAGAAATTGCTTTGGCTCGAGAGAGAGCTCAGGTTCGCGTTCATCGCGTCGAGCGCAGCACGGGCCCTTCTCCGAGCTCAGCCGCACTTTCCTCGCCCCTCTCGGGACGGGGCGGTTTCCAGGGGACGCCGAAGGCCGGTCCGGCCGCGCCCCGGTCCCCAGCCCCCTGCCCTCGGCGGCAGGCGCGAGGAGCGGGCGATCGCGCCCCG